TATTTTTATATAACCTTCTTTTCTTGTAAAAACACGTTCATAATAATAATAATAATAAATTTAAGTATCTTTTGCAAGACTTTATTTGATATTGATCGATCAAATAACTGATACCAAGAAAATTACATTACTCGATTATAGTTTATTGGAAACGTGTAAAATATAAACGTTGAGAAGTTAAGATACGACTTAATAGCAAATCAAAGTTTTTAACGACTCTCCCACTTTTTTTTCTTTTTTAACTGGAATATATATAAATAAGAATACTACCATTACTTTTTACGAGATAACTCGAGGAATTGGTATATACCTGATTAAAGTCGTTTCGAAAAATTAACGATCTTTCAAAAGTATCTTTTAAAAAAAAAATCACGTTCCATTGTAAAATACAGCCATCCTACGCAAACATATATATATATATATATATATATACAGGGTGTCTCGCAGTATTTTTTCATTAAATTTTTCCCATCACATTTTGTAATAAATAAATAAAAATAAAAAGTACAGAAATGTACAAATAATGTGCTCTTAAAAGCTTCATTTAAAAGTTCAAATAAAAATACAGAATGATAACGAATTTAGTGTTTCCTAACCTAACCTTTTTATCTAAAAACATCAACTGTATAATCATTTTTAGTTTTTAAACTAAAATATTAGTTATATTCAAGTATCGATAAACGTTTCATTATTATTACGTCAATATTGAGACATCCAATCAGATATAGCGTTACATGATACCAATAGGGAAATTAGTTTAAACGATCATAACCTCAAACGATAAATAAATCAGAAAAACAGTAATCTATTTTTATTTCTTCTTCTATGATATCATTTTAATTAAACATTCAATGTAAATATTTCGATAAAATTCAACTGATAACCTAAAATAACCTAGACACCCTGTATATACTTCTTAAAGAAAAAAAATAATATATAAAACGAAAGAAAAAGAAATATCGATTGGAAAACAATTTCGAGTGAAAAAAAAATGCCAACGAAAGAAGAAGAAAAAAGAAAAGAAAAAATAATAATCAACAACAGGCGGATGAAAAAGGAAGAAATTTTCGTTCAAATAATCTTCCAAGGAAAATTTCGTTGCATCGTTATTCCTCACACCCGCGTTCCCACCTTCACCTTCACCAACACCACCCCCTTTTACTAACCCTTATCGAACGTGAACGTGTTAGGTTATTTCTCGTAGCCGAACCTCGTCCCTTTCTCCGTTCATCAACCGACCATTCCAGCCCTAACACGTCGAAGCCTTCCTTTTACATTATTCCAACGATGATTAATGAAGCTCGCGGACGGTCGAGCAAAATTTCAGCCATGGGGGAATAGGAGTGGGAGGTGGAAATGTTGAGGAAGAGGAGAAAGAGGATGAGTAGGTGAGAAGAGTGGGGGTTGGGGAATTGGGGGAGTTGGGTTGAAGGAAGCTGTAGTGTTACACACACACACATATAGAAAGATGCATGCAACACACAATTGGGAAAGGAAGGAAGGAAGGAAGGAAATCGCTGGTGTGACGTGAAATAGAAAGATAGATAGATAGGTAGATAGATAGATAGATAGATAGATAGATAGATAGAGAAATAGAACCAGAACCAGATACAACCTAGGATCAAGCCAGATGGACTCGGATCAAATTTGCGAGCAACAACGGGGTACCCCATGTACCTGTACAATCCTGTGCACACCTATCCATCAAGTTTGGCTCCTCGTTCAGTGGCAACGATGAAAAAGATCTACGAGATGAACGAAGAGCGTACGAGAGGAGCTAGTAGAATGAAAAAAAAAATGGAAAAAGAATTTGCTAGAAGAGGAAGAAAGGGGAGATGAACTGACAGGACGAAGTAGAAAGGAGAAACCTGGGGATAACGGTGTAAAGGGGTGAACGAAGAGGAAGCGAGATGGGTTATAGAGTATCGATCGTTTGTGCAATCACGATTAAAAGTGGAAACGTAGGGTAGACGTTTTAGCACGGTAAAAGAAAGAGAGAGTGAGAGAAAAATAATAAAAAAAAAACAAAGAAAAGAAAGAAAGAGATGACGATGAAGGGTTGGTAAAGAGATCGTGGAAAAGCAGAGGAGAAAGACAGACAGATATACCGGGGGGGTTTTGTAGTTGAACGGTGAAGAGGGAAAGTGGAACGAGATGTGGGGGTGCGAGTGGGAGAAGGAGACAGGGTTGATATTCCGTGCGGAGAGTTTATTGGGGAAAAGGCCGGCTCGTATAATTTGACTTGGTCGGCGAGGTCTGAATAATCGATATATACTACTACTACTACTACCAAACACCACCTAACCACTCCCCCCTCGCCTCCCCCTGTACCCATCTATACCACCAGCCCACCCAACCCCCTTCCTCTTCATCATCCTTCTTCTCCAACGTGCGAAAACCTTTCCTTCGTCTCTCAAAACTTTACCCCTCGCCTGGTACTACCCCTCCGCCCCTCATCCCTCCATTTTCCACCTACCCATACACAGATACGAGAAACACGAGCGCGCGTATCCAAGCTTCCTCAACTTCATCTCGTTCTATCTCTTTCCGTCCAACTCCGTTCAGCTGCATCCAACACCGGAAACAGAGGCCAGCCTGATCGGGAGTTTAAATTGGGTGGAAATTATTCTCCTCCTTTTACCAACACTCGACCCACCCTCTCAATACCAAACCCCCCATTTAACGGGCTCTCACACCCATTATCGTGGCCAGCAACAGCAACAGCAGCAGCAACATTGGCAGGTTTGGCTACACCTCTTCGAGTTCCGTAAAATGAACATGATTTGTCAACACATACAAATACATACAAGTTCATAGATATACATACTGATGTTTGTGTATGTTCATAAATATATATGTGGGAATGTGTGTGTGTGTGTGTATGATTACTATAACGTACGTATATGCACCTTCAGAAATAGGCAAATATCCATCTATCCTTCTACTGTCCACCTATCACTGTCGTCTGTATGCATGCATGTGTATCAATATGTGTGTGTGTGAATGTGTCTCTATCTCTGCACCCTTCTTCATTCGTTCGAGGAACGTTAAATGTAAGTATGTAGTATGTGGATTTGTAGTGCATATGTGTGTATGTATGTCAGGTATGTGTGAGTAAGTACAGTGAACCGAATTATGGACTGGAAGGATATGGAGATAGGTAAATACATTGCGAACCTGCATATTCTGTCCTTATTCAGTCGTACGAAAATCGGCTTCTCTCGTTCGTGTCATGCGTGGGTGAATATCAAGAGGAGAGGGGGATGAGAGAAGCAAGGGAGGTATAGGGATTTAAGTAAATTAATATGTATTTTCTTGAATCGCAGGTCCGAGGTTTCTTTTGGAACAATTTTGATTGAATTGGAATATTATGATTTTAGTTTTGGGGGACAAGGATAATAGGGAAAATTATTTGAAAATAATTATAATATGGTACATAATTATTAGATATAAATAAAATAATTTAATATATTATATATAGAAACATATTAAATATGTATTTTCTTTGAACGTAGAGAGGTCGATTTTCTTTGGAAAATTTTCATTGAATAGTCAAATTTGATTATCGTATTGATGTTGAGAAAATAATTATATGAAGAAATGTATAATAATATAAATAAATAAAATAATTAATAACAAAATTGATATATTTCAAAAGGAAATTATATATGTAAATTAATTTAATTTATTTATTCTTTTTTTTTTATTTCTTTAATAAGTTATTTTTCTCCTTCGAAGCTATTTAATTGAATTGTTAAATTTAATTTTTAATCTCGATAAGAAAAAATAATTTCCAGCAAAGAGTTATATATATATATATATATATATATATATATATATATAAAATAAAATAATGAATATAATTGTTTGATAATTAAGCATACCTAATATGAAGACAAATTATTAATTGCTAACTAAGAATAGAATTACTCATGACAATGAAAACATAATAAAAAAATAATAATAATGATAATATAGTTACGTGTAAAGGATATAAATTACTCACACTGAAGATTATTGTAAGACAAGGATTGTCGTCGCATTCTACCTTGGCTAGATGTTTTTTCACGACTGACACGACACCACATGTTCACTTGGATGTACGACCATAACTTCAAGAATAGAATGGCATACAGCATGCACACGTACATGGAACCAACTGTAACATCAAATAAAAATCATTATATTAATAATAATAACAATATTAGATTTTTATTTTATTTATTTATCATTGAAAACTACAGAAAATTACTTTCCTAACAGTCAAATAATAATAATAATAATAATAATAATAATAATACATATAATATCATATACCTTATACAATTGTTCAAATAATTCGTTATATCTTTTTACATTGTGGACACAGTATTTCATTTTAATTTTCGATCTCTACTCATGAGGTCTGAGTAATATTAATAATTCCTATGACGTATGTACCCATTGATTTCGCATATATATGTATATGTATTTGACTTTACCATATTAATAATACATTCCCCAATGCATTCATGAGATACGTGAAATGTATACGAATCATTATTTTTTATCGATAATAAATACCATTATATTTCATTATGTTTTACATTACTTCCGTTATCTTCAAAAGCCAACGCGAGTCATACATACTTTTTCTATTATTTCATTTAATAATAAAGAATTCATTTTACTTGTAATATAGTAATACTAACTTGTTTATATTTATTAGAAGGCTTTTGTGAATGTGGTATACATTCACATTTGGTACGTTGTCATACATCAAAAGGGGAAGCACTCATTTTATAATACACCAGAAATTCCCAGCAGATTAATTACTAGATAAAACGCGCCATCTATGCTACATTGACGCATCGATAGGCGCCAAATTTAAAACTAAACTAAATTGTATATCATTAAATTAAATGATTTAAATTCTAACAAACGAAATTTTATATTACATAAATTTACATATATTATAAAAATTAATACGATTAATTAATCAGATAAAAACAAAGGCCCAATATTTACATTTTCTACAAATAAATTTTAAAAAATATTATTTCTTTATCTTCTCTAAAAGAAATAAAATAAAAATCAATTATATAAAACTATAAATATCGATAATTCGTTTAAATGAACAATAAAAAAAAAAAAAGAAATTCTATCTTTGAAACTTGATCAAGGTTGCTTTGTATTTTTGTTTTCTTTTTATTTTTAAACTATAAAGAGAAATATTTGTTTCCCCATTAAAGTAAAAAGTACAAAGAGAATGAAGATAAGGATAAAGAGGAAAAGTAGAAGGAGGACGAAAAAGAGAAAGGAAGTGGGATGATGGTGGTGGGAGGGCATGAAAGTAAAGGTAGTGGAGTGGGGAAGGGGGGTTGGTTGTTGGGGCTTACTACAAGCAAGTAGGACTTAGCAACGAGAGGTGCTAATTAGAGGGATTCTTGAATTCCAACGCGAAGCATGTAGCTAAGCATTTCTCTACATGGAAGTCGTTTGGTTTGTGGTTCTTTTTCCACGAAAGAATGACGACGACAACGACAGACCGACAGACCGACACTATGGGGGAGTGGGGAAAAGAGATGGGGAAGGTAAAAGTAAGGGGAGGGGGGTTTGTGGGAAACGCCATCGTCTAAGTGAATTAAATTAATTAAAAAGAGAACTTCTACTTGCACTCGTTGTCGGCAAAAGAATTTTAATAGACACTGCTTTTTTAGTTCCCACGAGTTCATCCGACTCTAGTTATATACTCTTTCTAGTTCTTTTTTTGATTTTTTCTTTTTTTTTGGGGTTTCTTCCTTTTTTGTCTTTCTAACCACCTCCCCCACGACTTGTCCCATCAACCCCATCCTCTTCGTCGCTTCATTATATTCTTTCTTTCTCATTTATAGGGGGGGACCGGGTCCCCTTCCCACCACCAACCCCTTTCTGGTGGTGTTTCTTTTTTTCTTTCCCCTTGTACTTTTCTTTTTCTTATTTTTTCTTTCTTTTTTTCTTTTATTTCTTGAACCACTCTTTTCTCGTTTGAAGAAACAAGTAATTCGCTTTATAACGAGATCGTAGGGAGAATAATATTTATAAGTGTTTGTGAGTATATGTGAGTGTGTGTTTGATTCTAATAAAACGTTATAATTATGTCATACTAATTTTGTTATAAATAATTATTTACTAAGTTTGTATTTGTGTGCATAATTAATTTAACAATTGTTTATAATATTGTGTGTAGGAATAATTGAATATGTTTTGCTATTGGATCATAATATTTTAATTAATTAATTTAAAAAATTATTATGTTAAATTAATTCAATAATTATTTATAAAAAATTCAATTAAATATATCTTAATCGTGCTCACACATTTACATGTACTCGTACATACGCATGAATTCCACAAAACACATTCTTTAAATATTTCAATGAGATGATGTATTAAAATTTATTTAAAAATAAAAAAATAAAATAAAAATCCAATACCTAATGCACAATACTAAATTAATCTAATTTTCAATAATCAAATATTAATGATAGAACAATTTTTCTAATGTTTTCATTATTATCAGGAAAGTTTGCGTGATTCTGAAGTGACGAAATCAAAAGATAACAAAACACTGCGAAAGGTGAGATCGTTGAATGTCGTGACGCCGATCGTAGCATGACATTCGCTTTGTTGTATTTCAAACACGCACACACACACACACACACACACACACACATACACATACACACATATATAAAAATGAATTACAAATAACATTTTCCTAAACATTATTCCGAATATTTATACTCGTTTCTCTTTTAGAAACTAATCGAGATAGAAAATAAAAATAAATCAACGATACAAAAAAAAAAGAAAACGAATAAAACAAACTATAATAAAAAAAAAAAGAGAAAAAAAGTAATCTCACGATAAACAGAACAAGCACCCCACCACGCCATCCAATTCCCATTCGTAGAAAAACATAACTAATGGTATGCATTATGAATTATCCTTATCTCAATCTAAAACGAAAACTTTAGGTTAGGTTAGGCCAATAATTCCACATGCGATATTTTTCTAATCAAATAAATGATCAAAAAAAAGAAAAACCTTATAATATAATATATACTTATTGACCTAACCTCAAAGTTAACACGTAATAATCGTACGAATGTGTAATAATGGTAAATGTAACTTTCTTGTCAGATATAATAGCAATTATATGAGGTATAAGAAAAGGAAGGAAAATTCGTTCGTGAAATAAAGTCACGTTCCTCTTTCTCTCTCTCTCTCTCTCACAGACACACATAAAACTAAATCACACAATCGCAGAATCCCAGTTAACCTTTTGTTCAATTTATTCAATTATCTCGTTCCATTCATTCTTCTTCGTTTTAATTTAAGATGTAATTGACTATAAACAATTCTTTGTAATAAATATAACAATTGCACTATCTCTCTCTCATTTTCTCACACATTTACAAAAATTAAATCACACAATCAATTTATTCAATTACCCTGTTCTATTCCTACTCCTTCATCATTTTAATTTAAGTTTTAATTGACGATAAGAAATTCTTTTCAATAAATATAACAATCATCAATTCCCCCATTTTACTTTCACCAACCCCTAACCCTCTAAATGATTATCTCTCTCTCTCTCTGTCTCTCTCTCTCTCTCTCTCTCTTTCCCTTAAACGATTCAAAACGAGCATATTTCTCGTAAAACGATTTCTGACGAAACACCAGCAACATCAGACAAGCACCAGGCTACAGAAACTGGAGGTAGGGAAACCGGAAACGCAAAAGAAAGAAAACGTTAAATGAGTCATATAAAACGTTTCGTTCAGGAAGCTAAGATTTTCTTCATCATTCCTCCCACCCCTAACTCATTCTCTCTCTCTCTCTCTCTCTTTGTCATTCTCTTTCCGTTCATTCCTAAGAATTTCTTTGTGTCCGTAAGCATCGTTCCTTTTTAGCATCGAAGAAACGAAGGGTACTTTCTCAATTTTCATCCACCCGTTCCACCCTTCCCCCCCCCCCACTCCTGGCCGACTCAAAACGAACCCACTGCTAAGCTTTCATTCTTACACTCCTCCCCCTCCCCACCCAACCACGACCAAGACCAAACTCTCTTGAACAACCCACCTCCACCCCTCCAACTTTTATTCAGATTCCCATTGTCACTCGTTCAACAAGGATACTCCGAGCTACTACCGATCCCGGTCGTCCCATTTCCTCCAATTTCCTTGTCTTCTTTTTTCCTTTTCCTTGCTTCATACCAACCCCCCTGCCCTCTTCTCCTCCTCCTCCTCCTTCTCCGTTACTCTAAGCCCTACCCCTTTAACTTCTACCCCCCTCATCTAGCTTCCAAAGAGCTTCGTCTATTATTCTTTTTTTTTTATTCTTTCTGGAATAAGGAAACGTCAACGAGAATACCATTGCTACCACTACCAACTAACCAGTTTTCATTTATTTTATTTTTTTTTTTAATACTTTTTTTCGGTACCCCTTATTCTTATCAGAGTTCTATTCTTATTTTTTTCTTTTTGAATGACTATTCAAAAACCTCCTCAGTAAGACTACCACCCACTCTTCAGCCCGATTTAAACCTTCCTTTTCTACTACCCCCTATCACCACCACCACCACTTCTATCATCATCCAGACTGTACAATCGTCAATTCGTTCTCACTTTCTATTTCGATCTCGACCTATCGATACGGGGAAAAAAGCAAACTGGTATGCATTTTGATTAGGATTCTTTTTTGCTGAGCTTCGATAGGAGGAAAGAAAGAAAAAAAGAAAGAAAGAAAGAAAGAAAAAAAAAAGGAAAATTGAAAGAAAATTTCACGTTGCAATTATAACTGTATTATTAATATTATATTATCATTTTCATTATCATCAATATGAGTATTGTACTATTATAATTGCAATTAATAATAATTATACTAATATTATTTGATTTATTAATTATTATAAACATTGGTATACTACTATTAATATTATATTATTATTAATATTATAATCGTATTATTAACAACATTATTTTATCATTTTTATTGTTATTATTTGTATATATATTAATAATAGTACAATAACAATTGTGCTATTATTTAATTTAGTGCTATTATTAATTATTATTTATATTATATTATATATATATAAAATAAGTACAATACCAATTGCGCTATTATTAACGT